GATGGCTAAGCAACATCCTCCACCTCTCTACTCTTCTGCAGCGTGATCCCGTCACCGGTCAGTAGATCAATTGCTTCCCTCCAGAAGCTGGGTACACCTGAGACTGCTAGCACCAGTGGAATTCAGCAGAAGAAATACAGTGACCGCTGCGATGTAGACTTTAACTGGTGCCTAAAATTTGAAGGGTAGTTGCTTCGTTAAAAAAAGTGGGGGTGATATTGCTGCAGCCACAGTGCCAGAGAAGCCCGTACAGGAGAACTAAAGAGAAATGCCACACTTGTGAGCGTCGGAGACTTGGTGGTAGATCCTCCAGGCTCTACCTTCCCACTTCCATCACAAATTGCCCAGGGAACCCTTTACAATTTAGCAATTAAGAAATCAAGTCTTGAGCAAAACGGTTGTTTTGAGCCACTCAGTTTGAACACCAAACAAGAGGAATTGTTCCAGAGCAGACGTTTTTGTCTCCTACCTTTCAGTAGGTAAGAGAGAATGCTTTTAATTGACTGTGTAATTAGAGTTTTAAAAAGGCAAATGAGACTGTTTGAATAACAAAAACTGACCCCCCAAAAAAAGATGTGTTCATGATCTCTACGAACCTCCGCAACGTAAGCAGATAAAGGAGTAAAGTTGAACATAAGTAAAAAGATGTCAGAAAAAATTTTAAAAGATGTTTATATTTCTAGCCCAAATTAAGCCACTTTAATAAATCAACTATATCTGTACATAAAAGGGCATTCACATTCCACTAAAATCCTTTTTTTTTTAAAGAAGGTGTTCTTGCCGGGGATTTAGGTCAGCGGTTCGGTGGCCTGCCTTGCAAGTGCAAGGACCCGAGTTCAATCCCCAGTACCAAAAATAAAATAAAATACAATAAAATAAATAAACAAATAAATAAATAAATAAGTAAATAAATAAAAGAAGGTATTCTGGATGCTTCTACATTCTCAGGGACTTCGGGACTCTATCTGCCATTTTCTTGCTTCCATCGTGTACAAATACTTTCAATTTAAATTTTTTTCTACACTCAGAAGAAAATGTGAGCATCACAATATAATGTAAAAAGCATACAGTTACCCACCAGCCACCTAAGAAGCACATTACCCCACACCTTTGTTTCTAACAGTGGATTCTGTTCCTACCTCACTTTCCTGAATTATATCTTTATCATTTGTTTGCTTTTAGGATATAGTTTTATCACAATTCTATACGCCCTGCACAATATGCTGTTTAATTTTCCGTGTTCCTGGCTTTCTAAAAATTTAATCTTTTGGCACTCTTTACCTGCCCTTCAAGTTCACTCTCTTTGCAAGACGCAAATCTACTGCTTGCCAGTGGTGTTTTTATTATGTGTTGCCACAGGCAGCAGTGGTGTCTGAGTAGTGGGGAAGGGAGTGCCCGCTCTGCTCCAGTGCCTCCCTCCCTCACACTGCCAACCCTGCTTGGCACCAGGCGTTCAGGCAGCAGCACCGGCAGTACGTGGCAGCTGGAGTTGTCACTTCAAAGGCAGTGGCAGGCAAGGTGGGTGCTTCCAAACCAGGCAGCTAGCAGAAGACTGAGGTCTCCAGGAAACACACTGTTACAGGACAGATTCTGGGACTGGGTATCAGCCCTAGCTGATACCCCCTACACTGCCCTGGGGATGAGATGGCGTAAGTCAGTGATACACACTGACACAATGGTGGCCTGAGTCTCTGTCCATAGTTGAAGGGAATGAAGCTCTACAACTGAAACCCTGGGCACCAGGGGCTGCTGTGGTCACCAATGATACAGGAACGACGACCTCCAGGACTGTGAGTGGGATGGCTTTTTATTATTGCACCAGAGAACTTACTCTGTCTCTCTGTGACTGTTACACTCTTCTCCCTGAAATATCTTCTTAGCTTAGCTCTCCTTTCTTGCTTTTTCCTTGATGGTGTAACACTGGAATTCCCCAAAGCTTACTGTTTGGAATTTTCCATGTGTCCCCTGGACACTCATCCTATTCCATGGTCTTAGGTACTGCATGGTGACAGTTTTCAAATTAATCTTGCCAGTCTGGATCCAGCCTACATATCCAATGGCCTATTTGATTCTTTCTCAAATGAGTACTTCATGCACAACAGAAACGCTGATTTTACCTCCAACACCTGCTCCTCCCCAAGCCTCCCCATCTCAGCAAATGGCAACTCCACTTCTTAGCTGCTTACATCAGTTGTGGTAGTTCTTTGTCACTGCAGACAAGATACCTGAGAAAAACAAAGATGGAATGGCTTCAGTCCTGCTTTTAGGCCTATGGCAAGGCAGAATATCGTGGTGGAAAGGCATAGTAAAGGAGAGCAGCTTACCTCAGGGCAGCCAGGGAGCAATGAGAAAGGAAAGAGCCAGAGAGGACAGGGTGAGGGACAATATATAGTCCCCGAGGGTACACATCCACACCTTTCACCTGGGCCCTTCCTCCTACTAGCCCACTCTGCTATGAACTGTCCATGGGACTCATCGAAAGACTCATCCAAGGGTGAGACCAGCACTCTCGCAGCCCAGTTACTTCCCAAAGGCCAGAACTTGGCGATCAAGCCCCCCACCACGTGGACTTTGGTTGGTATTTTAGATCCAAACTGTAACACTAGTGATTCTCAACATCGAGTGTCACAACTGGGGTGAGGACGTGGCTACTGGCATCTACTGGACAGAGCTAGGAAGTCCTGTAAATATTCCACAACATTCAGATCCTTCTCAAAGAGAGAGGAGATCGAGAGGGTGGAGGAGGGATGGAAAAGGAGATAAGGAATTTGAGATATGTTATGTACATGTATGAATATGTAGTACAAATATGTACTTAAAAACTTTCTAACATGATATTGTGAACAGTGACATTGTTTGCTTTCAAACACAGCATAAAAATTACATGTATTTAACATGGATATTCATTTTCCTTTCTAAGTATACTTTGCTCATTCTTAATCATGCACATTTACTAACTCCAGAAATGAATAATTTACTTGCCTCAGGGGATATGAGGTAAATTGTCTCCTTTTTCTGTTTGTTGTTGTTGTTGTTTGGCTTTTTTGAGGGGAGGGATGGCAGTAGGGTTTGAAGCCAGGCACCCAGCTACACCTCAGACCAAATGGCTTGAAAAATACCCTCTTGGATTTGGTGAAGATGGTGTGGTAGAGATAGAAAGCTGACCCTCGAAGGCTTGTAATCTCCTCCCATGCTCACGGAGTTGAGGGAAGCAGCTGCCAGCCAAGGACCACAGCTTTTGTTCCCTGTGTAGAATTTGCACCCGATTCTATTTCTTCTCATGTTTCCTCTCCTTCTTCCAGCAGATGGAGACACTTCCAGAACCCTACGGGAACCGGAATCCATAGGACAAAAGGGCCTAGGATTCTGAAGGATCAACTGGAAAGCTGCCAATCAACTGGAAGCTGTGGTATTAGACATTAGTTGGGAAGAAACAAAGCCTCTATTGTGTTAAACTATGGAGGTGTGGGAGCTTTTCTGTTCCTGCAGCTTAATCAGTTGCTAATACATTTAAACTTATAAAGCAAAGAAGTAGTGCAATCAATAAAATATCTTTATTTGCATTTGTGAATTGGATTAAATAGCTCTAAAGCTTTGACTTGAAATGCTATATAGTAAAATGGCAAATGTACAGAGATATTTAAAAAGCAGTATGCTTCCTTTCTCACTCCCTGGACCTAGAAGAATTGAGGCAGCTACAAAGTACATTCAGAGGGCACTGCGCAGTCTCTGCTCACACAGGAACGGCAGCAGACGGAAGGCCATGCTGTTGGATGAGGTGTGGCCTGCAAGGGGCCACCGTGAGACAGGCTTGAATGTCACCGTAATAATTCGGGGGTAGTCACAACCACCACTGAAATGCTAACCTGGAAGCAAAGCGTTTCAGAGAAGGACTGTACCGACCGTGTAAGTGATACGCTGTAATGAGAGTCAAACTGATCTGGAACCGTGGATAAACACTGAGGAACTCTGGGGAGATACCTGGCTTGAAGGAGAAGTTTGGACATCTTGAATTTGAATGGGCCATCCAAGCAGAAGCGTTGAGAAGACAGCTAAAAATGGGAAGCTAGAGCCAGAGACAGAACAGGGAAACCCTGCTTCTGCAAGGTCTGCGCCGGGACAGCCGCCAACTCCCACTACCCGCTCTAGTTTTCTCCGCCCCGGTCCTCCGTGGGAGACCGGTTTGACTGAGTTGCACTTCTGTCCCTCTCCCCTGTCCCTTTCACCCCTCTTGAGGTCCGGCTGTGTCCCTTGCTCTACGGAAGGTGCCACCTCTTGGGCATTAGCATCCAGTCGTCTCTTCAGGGGGGCCTGTGTTCAGATCCCTCCCGGGAGACCAGAACATCAGCCTGCCAGGGGCAGTGTGGTGTGAGGCAGATCTCTTCTGACCAGAGACTGCCTGCAAGCCCGAGTAAGGAAGGCCCGTCCGATGTCCTCCCTGCACTTGGATGCCACCGCGGGAACGCGAGCCGAGCCAGCGAGCCCCTCTGTGAGCCCCCGGCAGCCTCGCCACGGTCCCACGGCCTTTGAACAGCAGCTCGGGAAGCCACGCGCAGAGCTCCACGCAGGAGCCGTTAGGGAGGCGCCCTGGGGACCCCGGCGACCCGCCCGCCCGCCTTCCGCCACCTCCCTGCTGGCGCCATGCGGACCAAGCAGGGGAACTTGCTGCTGGTCTTTCTCATGCTCCAGGCCGTGCTGCTCTTCAGCTTCGCCTGGTTCTGCCTCTACAGGATGGCCGAGATGAGTAAGCGGGGACCGCTCCGCCCCTCTCCCTCCCCGAGCCCGGAGTGTGAGTGGCCGGCGGGTTTGGGACCCAGGGGTGACGACGCAGTGGGCTCCGCCGTAACGGGCTCCTGGGTCAGGGATGGGGTGGGGAGTCCCCGGCCCGGCCTTCCATCCCCGCCCCGGCTGCCAGGCCCACAGCCCCCTCCCGTGTCCTCCTCCTCGATCGTTTCCAGAAGCGCGTGAATGTCTAACATCCAGGACGCCGCTCAACCCACCTCCTTCCCTGGCGGGGCGCAGGTTACTTCGGGGCCGTCTCTGGGCCGAGCGGAAGAAGGCGGATGGTGGAGAGGCACAGAACTGGCCCGATTTAGGGCCCTGGTCCACACCTCAACCTTCTTCTCGAAAGAACCGTGAACCTGTGTGACCGACTCCTTGGGATACGCCAACATTTTACTTTGTCGTGGACGTGGGAGTGGCATTCTAGAGAACAAAAATTAAAGTTATCTGGTTAAATCTGAGTTTCAGATAGACATTGAAAATTTCCATATAAAAATTACATGGGACATAATTGTTCTAAAACTGTATTTCCTGTTTATCTGAAACTCAGATCTAACTAGGTGTCTTATCTTTCAAGCCTAGTTGTCCATACTGTAACGTTTAGAGTTAGTTCATATGAAGTTCACTTGAGATTTTTCAGATTTAGGAACCCTGGGAATTTTTAATCCCGGTTGCTTCAGGTTAAATATTCAAGTCTATTGAACACATTTATGAAGTAGGTCTAAAACTCAACAGCAGGGTTAGGGTGGAGTTTGGAAGTGCAGATTGAGTCCTTTAGTGAATATCACATTTTGTCATCATGTACACAGAATGCACAATTCTATCTCACCGAAATACTAGAAAATGCATTATAAAACTTCTACTCTTTCATTTTATATCCCCTTCTTCATTTTCTCTAAAGAAGATTATTAAAATGTGTTTTTGTCTTAGAACAATGAGTGTATTTATAACAGTAAAAACAAAAAAAATGGTTTCTTGTACCAAGAAAGCAAGTAATTTTTGGAAGGCAGTGTAGAATGGCAGCCTTAGAGGACATTTTAATATAGTTAATATTCTTAACTATAAGGACCCAGAGCCTTACAAACCATTTTAGTGGTTTTTTCTAGTTATAACCAGAAAGAAGTTTATTTCCTCAAAGGATTGTTTGGGGTTTGGGTTTTTTTTTGTTTTGTTTTTTTGTTGTCTGTGTGTTTTTGTTTGTTTTTTGGTACTGGGGGTTGAAATCAGGCCCTCGCACTTTTGAGGCAGGCGGCAGCACCCCTGAGCCAAATAAATCCCCAGCCCCTCAAAGGATTTAGATTCTCATCTTTCATAGACACAAGTTCCAAAAATGATATATTATTTCTGAGAATGGAACACTTTTAAAATACCAAATAAGTCTGAGTTTTCATTTTCTGTAAGTTCATCATATTAATAGTTCATTAAATTTTTAACAAATATTTGAACTCTATGAAGACAAGTGTTTTTTGTTCTTGTTCTCTCTCTCTTTTTGATTGTCTGCTCACTGCTTCTGGAAAATGGTGGGAGTTAAATATCTGTTGAAAAATATGAATGATTAGGTGCATGAGGGAATGACTGAATTTACTGAGTACCTGTTCACATTGCAGGCCTTTAGTTAATAGCACCATCCTGTGTCTGGATCATATGTGATGGCTGTGCAAATACACACTTGACTTAACAATTATTGTCTGATGTCAGGTGTAGGCAGGGAAAGGAAGGAAAGCACTGAAGTTACACCTTGGTACTTACCCTCTCTGAAACTCATCAAACTTGGTACTCAATGCATTTTGACTCCATTATTTTATCCCAGTATTTGTCGTTTGTTTGATACTATGCACAAGAAAGAACTTGTTGGTATCAACTACCTTGTAACTCACTATCTTCTCCAGCCAAAGCAATTTATTTGGTACTCATTGCTTTGTGTATTCTTTGCTCTTCCTAGAATCAGTTAATGAAGATTACCAAGGAGCCAATGTGTTTTGATGATTGTCAAAGGAGTCTTCTTTGCAGAAGTTATGTTTTAACAGATTTTATTTTATTTATTTATATATTTATTTATTTTGTACTGGGGATCAAACTCATGTCCTTGCTCTTGTGAGGCAGGCAGTGGAATGGCTGAACTAAATCCCAAGCCCTTGAACAGATTTCTGAATGAAGTGAGGAAGTAAGGCTCGGCAAGACAAACAAACAAACAAACAAAAATCAAAAGTGCTGCTGGGCGTGGTGGCATACACACATCATCCTAGCACTTGGGAGGCTGAGGCAGGGGGATTGCTCCAAATTTGAGGCCAGCCTGAGTTACATAGTGAGTTCAAGACCAGTCTGAACTGCATAGTGAGACTCTGTCTCAAAAAAAAAAAAAAAAAAAAAAAAAAAAAAAGGTGGTAGCCCAGAATCGTGTTTCTTACAAAATCTACTTCCATTTCGCCATTCCTGGCTGTGATACTCAAAAGTTATACCCACTCAAATTTGTCAAATTCGGTGTTCTCAAGATCAGAAAGGCACTTTGTTCTTACATTTTAAAGTTTTTAACATCAGGATGTGTTTTCAATCAATATTTAAATCTAACATAATATTTCTTCCTTCAATTTCTTTCCTGTTGGCTCTTGGCTCCAGCTTATTTCTCCTGCTTATGCAAGGACTGCACCCTCTGAACACTTAGCATCCCTACCTGTGGTAAGTGGTCAGGCCTTGGCTTGTAATGCCACTTCCTCCATGAAGTCTTCACTGACCACTCATCTACAAAGCGATCCCTTAGATTTCCCTCCAGGCACTAAGTTTGCTTCCTATGCAATTGTCACGAATAGATTTTACTTCCTCTACTATGCTATAGGCCCCTCGAAGGGGCAGACCATGCTATTTTCATGTTATGTTCCCCCCCTGCATCTTTTGAGCTATTTTGTAGCTCAAAGGCATTGACTTCAATACAGACCTGTGGTACAGTGTAGGTGTATCCACAGCTGACCACCTACAGATACTACCTGAGACTGGTGACAACCACCATGAATTTTATTTCAGGAAATCTAGTAGACAGAGAATGTGGTAACATTCTTGAAGAAGTGCAGAATTCCTTTTTGTATTTAAAAAGAAAAAAATATATATATTGTATATATATGTGTA